GGCACCGTGGCCCCTGGCCGAGCTGAGTCCCCGGGCAGTCTCGCTGGGCGTGCAGGAGAGGAGGCCAGAACTGATCTAGCTCCGCTGCTCCCCCCATCCCTGGAGGATCCGTTATCTGTGGTCCAGCCATGTTACAGCATAGATTGCATCAGGCACAGATGCAGTCGTTGGCTAAAAGTCAGGCTTGACAGAACATCCAGAATTGCTGTTGGTGCTCACATCGGCCAGGTTGTTCCTCTTGAAAGGAAAATACGGTAGCGCACGTGGGCCCTCCCTGCCAGCACTTGGGCTTTTCTGCTTTCCTCTTGGCTCCGGGGCTGCTGCCTGCCAAAGGGCCTTGGAGCAGTTTGATAATGCTCCTGGCTGGAAACCGCGTGGGTTCATGTACAGACTTAGGTTTTGGTTTGCATTAACAATGGCCCTTATTCAATGGCTTTCACTATGTTCAGGAATACCCGTAGCTAGACTTGTGGTTATTTGCATAGTGCTTCTGTGATCACTAGTTTTGAAAGAGTGAACTTTGCTGCTGCCACTTCTAACTTACCTTTTTTAGTATTACGTAGAATAACCAGCCTTTTTCTTCCTTCACCTCTCTGACTTTCCTGAAGATTTACTGCACTACAACTTACCCTTTTTTTATCCCTTTCATCTCACCAGGTTTGTTTTTGTTCTTGTTCCAATGTTGCACTGTAGACCTGGGAAAAGTCTGTTTTATAGAAAACCTTTCAGTGCTTCCCATCATTTGAAAAACAGCTCTTTGTCAAGGTCAAGACATGACAAGTATTGTCACCATTGCTTTTCATTAGGCCTCCAGTTGGGTAGCTTCAGCCAGTTCTTAAAATCTCTGTAGTTCAGAGTTTCCAGGAGAATCGTGTGAATCATGAACTGTCAGACTGCTCAGAAAAAAAAAAACATGGTTGCCTAAAAGTTAACTTACTAGATTGTTAATTTTGATTACAACTAGTTCATCTGCTTAATCAGATTGTATTATTCATAAAGTTTTTGCTATTGCACAGAAAATGTACAATCACGTTCACCTAATGGTTATTTTAAACTTGTATTTTTTATATCTTACTAATTAAAAAACATTTGAAACTGGCAGGAGTATGCTGTTCAAATGACACTTCTGGAATCTTAAACCAGCACCATCAGAATTGAAGCATCTTGTGTTTTAGGATCTGCATTCAATTTTGCAAGTCTGTAAATATTTGTTGTTTAAATTTCATGGTATAAATTCCCTGACAGATAATTCTGAGTAATTTTGTACCTTAAGTTACAAAAAAAATAAAGAAACTTTAAAAAATATTCTATATAAACTAATGTTTCTTCCTTTAATGTAGTGCTTATGACTGTGTGATCCCCCCCATGGAAAAGGCTGTGGTGAAAACAGACATTCAAATAGCACTTCCTTCTGGCTGCTATGGCCGAGTGGGTGAGTACACAGCTGTCAGAGGCTGCAGAGGCATTCTAGAACAGGTTGGACAGCATCTTCACATTTAGATTCTGCCTAAAGCTTTCAGAATTAGTCAGCACAAAAAAGGGATGCTACGTAGCTGTGTGATTTACTTAATCTTGTGGTGTTTTCCTGTTACCTGTTGTCAGACACATTTGAGGTTTGGTGTATGTCAGGTGGCCAAAGGATGATCAGCAAAAATGTCTGTACTCTACATACAGCTTAACCTTATAGGCCCCACAGTAGTTTATTATTTGTATGCAGCTTCAGAATTCAAACCACAAAGACTAATAGGTATTGGACATAGAGAAAATGCATCCCTGGTTGTTTCAAAATTAACCCAGAGCATCAGTGTCGTAGAATTTGATGACATATTGTGATAGAATAAGAAAGATATCTATACAAGATATTTTGTTTATTTTGTGCATTCTTTATCTGAATTATGTAGAAATTCTCTATGTAAAAAAGCAGTGGAAGAACATGATCAGAGTTTGCCATGTCCTTTTATGTAAAAGAACACATGCGTTTCTCTTAGCCCAAAGAAAATTGTAAAGATCGTAAAGTAAAAACCGAAATCCCCACACATAATTTTTCTGTGTATAACACTGCTTAGGAAATTCCTTGCCAGGTATTGTTTTCCTTCATAACTTAAATGGATTGACCTAATATTGTTCTGAGATGATGCTGAACCAGTGGTAGTCGCCAAAAATAAACCAAGACTAGACAGTCTGTCTGCTCCAGTTGCCTTCCTTGGAGAAACCTACTCTGCAAGTACATGTCAAATAAAGATACATTTCCATTACTTAAAAATTGCAATTTTTTTGTTGCCTGTTGCAGCTGTTATTCTGTTTCATGTATATGTAAACTCTTAACATAATTCCTGTAATATGTTTATTTTAAAAAGACTGGAAACAATTGTCATTCCCAAGACTCTGTGCAAACACCCTATATAACCTATAAATACTGTCTTTTTAAAGAAATAAATTGTAATACTTAATAAAGAAATAAATTGTAATACTTAATAAAAATTCTTTTCTAGCACCACGTTCTGGTTTAGCTGCAAAGCACTTCATAGATGTTGGAGGTAAGCTTTTTGTTCTTTTTATTAAGACTTGGTAAGTACTGATCACAGAAGTGCCTTAGTTTCACACTGTAGTGTGCAAATAAATGATGGCTTCCTGGGCAGGTCATCATAATTATGTTAACACTTTCTTAATGATAAGAAAGATTACTGATTTTTTTTTAACTAATAACTGTATCATACTTCTGTAGGCAGTGCCTGCCATAGAAGTTACTTTTTGGCTTAGGCATTAAAGATGACTTCTTACATGCTGGTTTCTCCGTTTTTTTAACCAGCAAATTAACTTGGGAATTGCTTGTTTTTCTGAATTTTCAAAACTCAGGGGATACTCCCAGTGTTACTAGCACCTTAATTAGGAAGCTGTTCAGCAATGCCATTGGATTAACCCAAAACATTACATAGGAGAGCTGTGTAAATACTTTTTCCACACTGGAATTAGTGCAGAGATTGCATGGGAACTATGGATCATAGGCACTACAATTTTTTCAAAAGCTGAAGGAAATACTTCACAAAGTAAGTTTTACTTCTTAAATGTGCATTTTGTGGTTCACAAAACATGAAAACTTCAAGGTACACTCATGCTACAGTTTCTTCTGGTGTTAGTAATCTCTAATGGTAGTACTTTGTATAAACTGGGGAATGTCTTGAACTTGAATAATTTTATTTTGGTATTTAAATTATTTCTGCAATTAGACTTCCAAATATACATACTTAGGACCACAGGGAGGCCCAAACTCATATTTTCTACTGGAAATGCATTCCTGTCTGAGAGGAAAACTCTAAAGCAGAATATCATTATTTTAATGTAGCTAGTCTTCTGAACTATGCAGTTAATACAGCCATACAAAATAGAACAGTAAGCCTGTTGTATAGCCTTGGTACTAGAATGCAGCTGTATGACTGCCATTTCCTTAGAGTCTGATTCTGTTACCTTGCCAGAGGTACAGGGTTTGAATCTGTGCAAGTCACAGCTCTCAAATGAAATGTTAGAGTTAAGAACAGATTTCTGCTTGACACTGAACGAGCTGAAGTTAGCAGAACAAATGGGGCCTGAATTTAGTCCAGCTGTCTTGATTTCAGATAGAGTATTACTACTAAAATTAGTAGTACAGTGGTAAAGCACTTCTTGACATGTGATGGGGGTTTTCAGTTCCTTTTTCAAGACTGATTAGCATTTTTAGATCTCATTATTTGCATATATATTGTTAGTTGTGCATCAGAAGTATTAAGCCTGTCATTATGAGATACTGTAATCATTTTTTAATCTAAACTTTAATCTAATCTAGTTATCTCATACACTGACATTTACTAACTGGGCACCTCTCAAAATTTCTCCTGACAGCTGGTGTTATTGATGAGGATTACAGGGGAAATGTTGGTGTGGTACTGTTCAACTTTGGCAAGGAGACATTTGAAGGTAGGTGTTAAGCCTGGCACAGCCTATTTTCAGCCATGAAAATGACTGGGAACAAGAAACTAATTTTTTCTTTAAAAGTTTATGCAGAGGTGGAACTAGCTGGGAACATTTTTCTTCTCTCAGTTAACAAAAGCATAGATATTTAATAATGTCCTGTCAAGGGAACATGTAAAGATTGTCTCAAATTAAGCAGCCTGCAAAAAACTGCCCCCAAAACCAGCACACCACCACAGAAACAAACCAAAACATCCCCACTTAGCTAAGCTTTAGATTCACAAGCTGTACTGAAATGCAACTTTGTATCAAGTTACTGCCTTTCTCTGAAAAACAAAATTAGCTAAGCAGTATTTGAGAAAAACCTTCTCCAGAGTCCTGGGAAACCTGAGTAACAGACAGGATTTTCCCTTTATTACACCATCTTTCTGCAAAAAGTCAGTTTTAAGTTGCAGTGCCCAGGTGCAAGAAGTGCTTTTGTGGCCTTTCCTGCATCTTCACATCACAAGCTGCTTATGGAAGTTCTATGAGCCTGATTGGTTTTTAGTGAGAAACTCAGTGTTCCTTTTATCAGTTTGCCTTTTTCTCCCCAAATTCCTGGGTCTAGTTCATAAAAGGAGCTCCATTATCCATCCAGCTGTGTCTCCATCTCTGCAGTACCTGTACATAATGAACTTGGGATGCCAGAGTGTGGCAGCAGGAATGAATGGAAAGGCCTTGGGCTGGTACAGCTGATGACATTCAACATAGAAGGACCAAGCAAAACTTTATCTTAACCTATATTTTTCTGTGTCTGTTAACCTCTGTTTAGATAAGTTTCAAATAAGTGTTTTCACTTTTATATATTCTGATATTCTTGAAAGGAGATTGTCTAAAGTCTATCTATATTCATTGTTCACTTTTTTGAAGGAACTAACGATATTTTAACTTCTCTGCAGTTAAAAAGGGGGATAGGATTGCCCAGCTCATCTGTGAACGCATTTATTATCCTGAGCTAGAAGAAGTTGAAGTAAGTCGACAAAAGAAAATATTTCTGCCTTTTCAATGATTATTAGCTTAAGATACTTGTATATAAGAGGAAGTTTATTATATAGATAAATACTTGGCTGAAATTGCTTTCAGTGGTAAAACTGCATAGCAGCAGTACTACCTGAATGAAAGTCTTGATTCTTTGTACATACTTGCATAGATGTTCTTTTTTTTCCTTTTTTGGTAAGTTTTCAGAGTTTTTGAGGAACAGTTCAGTATATACTAGAAATGATTGTCTCACAAGCATTTAAGCTTGTACAAAAGGTATTCTAAAGTCTCTTGCATACATTGTTTTCTTTCTTAATTATAGCACTTATTACAAGTAAATGATAGACAATATCTCTTGTATAGAAATAAAAATAAGTTAAGGCACTAAACCAGCTTATCATAATTGATGTCTTTCAGACTCTGGATGATACAGAACGTGGTGAAGGTGGCTTTGGCTCTACTGGAAAGAACTGAAAATCACTTGACTACGCTTTCTGCTTTTGTTTTTTGTTATACTATTTCTAAATTTTCATCTGAATTAGAAGTAGGATTTCTGGAGTACATAAAATATTTCAAGTTTTATTGAGACTTTTCTGTATCTATCCTCCAGTGAATTTGTCTGCATAATGAGGAAATATGCATGACTGGCTTGACTTACTAGTTAATGTATTATTTTCTCTTTCAAGAAGTTTGGTCCTCAGCAATAAGAACATATTGTTTATGTGGCAATTATGCTGTAATAAATGAAAAAAATAACGATGTATTTTATTTTACTGACCTAACCTACAACAGCCAATTGTTCCCTTGCCAGTTTTTGTTAGACTTCTGAAAGCTATCTTCCCCATGGCTCAGGATTTCATACTGAGACCCTGCTTCATCAGCATCAGTGACAGTACCAGTAGGACTTTCCACTGTGACACCAAAATCAGAATAAGACAAAGATATTCAATATTGCATCCTCTACAACCTGTCCAAATACTTGTGTTTCTGTTCAAAGCTAAAGTTCCGACTTTGATCCTTAATTGATCTTCAAGTGACCAAGTTTTCAGCTCTCTTATATTCAAAGTAATACAGTTTGAGTTAAATAACACAACTCACCTGGAAATAGCTTCTATGTAGTAAACAAGAGCTATGAATTACACTTTTGGAATATTTTTACAAATTTATCAATGTGTTTCTGTATGGAAGAAAAATTCTGAATTATTGAAACAATGCACAGTTTGGTGTTTTAAAGTCACTTTTGTCCAGTTAACAGAGAATGTTTTTTGAATCTGTCCTAAACTTGATTCAATAAGTGTGTGGAATTTCTTAAATGACTCTCTGACTTTTAGGTGAAAGAACATAGAGGAGAGAAGAAATAAAAAAGGAAAGAAAAATGACTATTTTCCCACTTTACATAAAAGAATTAGAAAAGGCTCTGAAGCTCTCACTTTTTTCCTGCAGCTGTCTGTACTTTAAGATTTTCTTATCTGGAAGATCACAGGTAGGAAATTCTGTGCTTTAAGTTTTAGCAGTGGAAAGGGCACTTTGTAGGCTGATGTTCACCCTGCTCTTCTGCTGGGTAGTTTCAGCTCAGGATAATCCTGTTGGTATTAGTTTTATGTTCCTGTCTGGGACTGTTTTTAGTGAAGTAGGCCTAAAATGCTTCACATTTTGTACATTTTATCCTGCCTGCCCCTGGAGCTGGAAAATAGAAGAGCAGTGTGACAGCATTCAGATCCCTTCAGCCATGGGATAGGCATTACACTGGCTTGGCAGTGCTGAAACAAGAAGTAGATTCATTTTGTCTAGGGTAGAAGCCTTTTCCTCTAAGTGCATGATATGCTGATCAGGGGTTTTGCTGGTGGTCCTTACCCCTCATCATAGGCCTGTGCTTGGATCTGTACCCCCAGACAGAGCATCAGGAGCAGGCACATCCTGCAGAAGGCCCCTGTGAGCAAGAGCTCATCATACCAATGCAGCCTAAATGAACTGGGGAAGCTGAGCTTGACACTAATTTTATTCAGTTCTATACCCTGCCAAAAAGGAACTTGAAGGCTATTTAAAGGCCTAAAAAAAATCTATGATCCTTTTGTGAAAAGCTGTTTCCTCTTCTGGACTGGAAGTCAAAGTTTTGCTGCAGTTTTTAGTTTCTACCTCCCAAAGCAAACACCCAGCAGGGGTTCCACTGATGCAAGTCCTTTTTAAAAAAAGATGCTACAAGAGACCTCACTTGGAACAGCAAGGGTTTTGAAGGAACATGGGATTCCTATACAATTCCTACCACTTGAACTCTCCACTTTTGGACCAAAATCTTAAAACAAAAATTATGGCAGTAATACCACTGCTACCATTGATCTTTAGTTCTTTCTTTCCCCCAGAGTGTTAACCTGGTGTAGTTGAGAATTTAGGCACAGCTTCCTCAGCTCAGCTGTTATATTGCTCTATGGCATGGTAGGAATTTTTTTATCTATTTAATGTTTTCTACATCAGCCACTAGATGGCACTTAAAGTTTGCTTTCTTTTCCACTTCTTTTTCAGAGGTATTTTTCAAAGATCTGTTCATCTATAATTAAGAGTTGATGACTCCCACTGGGACTATGTTGGTGGAAAGAAAGATGCAGCAATATTTGAGTGAAAGCAGGCAAAAGTATGACCATTAAAGGGGGAACAATGACAATAATTTAAATAAGATTTGGGTGGTTGCAGTGTTTGCATAATCCCTCCTGGCATGCAAGAGCACTAGAGAAGCCTGTGGCTTTTCTCTCCTGCTGCGTTTCAACAAAAATGGAAAATTGTAATGAACAGCAACATTTTTCCTGTCTTTCGTATTCACTGTGCTCTTACTCTCTCTTCCTCCATTCCTTTAAGTGGAATGCAGACTACTTAAGGATTGCATTGTAATGAAAGTAATGTATAGCCTGGTCAGCTCTGCATTGGATTTTCCAAATCAAATGCCTCTGGCTGCAAGGTCAGAATATAAATTAAAACCTACTTAATACCTGTTAACTCACTAAGGGTGGGTGATATATAGTAACCTAAATGATTTAATTTAAGGTTCCCTAGTTTCTGTATTGCTTGCTGCTATAACACAGTTTGGAGCTCTTGTATGTCTTCTAATTTTTCTATTTTTTTTTTTTTGTGTTAAATAACTATCATTGTATTTTGGCTTAAAGATGGTTAAGTAAGTTTTGGTATTAAGTAAACTTCTATGACCCTGCCTATTTCCTGTCCTGTCAAACCTTTCCTTGTAAGAATAACAGTGTCCTTTTATTTGGTGGAGTGTAGCATGATGTTTTTGGCAGGCACGCCATTTTTGACTTGCATAAATTTGTGACCTCAAGTGCAAGAAAAGTGAATGCTTGCTTCAGTACCTCATGGTTTTTGCCTGAAAAGAAAAGTGTCCACATGGCTAACCATTACAGTTTCTGAAGGAAAATTATCAGCACACTTATTCCACCTGATTGCACATGACTGCACTTCCAAAGAAAAGAACCAGAAATAAAAATAAGTATTTTGCACCTAGTTATGTAAGTTACTGAAAGCCTGAAAATATAGGGCAGACTGTACTGCTTACTGGTTTCTGGAGTTGGCACACATGGCACTTCCCTCACTAACAGCTATTTGGCAGTCCCTAGCTCAGTAAAGATGTGATTCTGCAAAGTGTAAATTCGGGTCTGCTGCTGGCCAGAGAATGTCACTGCATGGTTAGAGGTTGCAGGATCGGGTCTGAAGTGAATTTACATAATTATTTTCCTAAACTTTCCCTCCATTAACTGTGTGGTTATTTAGCTCTTTGCCACTAAGTGATGCTTTTCCCCTACTCAGAACAGAGCAGGAAAGCCTTTTACCCTGCCAAGTCTGAAAACTTGACAGATTAATTTTATAATTTGAGAGCTCTTATCCAGAAAGTAACTACTGTATTTTAACATGTAAACTGTGTTTAAACAAACACATGTGAGCTCTGTATGCCTACTTGTTTCCCCTTAGAATTTGATGGGGTTTTTTTTCATTGTCACAAAAATTTTATATTAACCTTCTGCATTTTAGAGAACATTTGTACAGTATAATTCATAACAAGAGTTTTGTATCAATCAATACTACTCATAGCCTTGAACTGAAAAAAGTTATCTTTTGTCTACTATTGATTGTAGCAAAGGAATTAATTTGCTTTCATTTTGTAAAAGGAAAAAGGAAAAGCAAACAGACATGAATGTAGCATCCTTGGCCAGATTATTTTAACATGAATATTTTTGTTTACGGATTCCTACTGTGAAAGGTTGTGTCCAAGTGTCCAAGACAAAATAACTATGTGTTCTCCTTGGAAGGAAACATCTTTCCTTTGCAGCTAAACTGATAGTGCCATGTCTGGCAAGCACAGTAGTTATCCAGTGCTGTCTGCTAATACAGCTCAATCCTGATGACAACCTTCCCACCTGCTTAGCTTACACTCTGTTCACTGCCAAATTCCAGGGTCCCTTCCTTAGGCTGCAGGAGAGCATCAAGGAATCCCACTTGTCAGGTTTTCACAACAGCAAACACAAAACCACCAGTCTCACTATCCCACATAGGAGTCACTGCTGGCAGCAAGCCCAGCTGATCAGCATTACAGGTAATTCAAGCCATTTAAATTCTGTAATAGTTTTTTTATTCATCCTATATGTGATGCTGTATCTTAGCAGCATGTATAGGCTAGAGCAGTCAAAGAGAAGGAGGTGTTTTGTTAGGGGAGAAAGTGTATTTCAGTCCTGTCCTTACCTTTCTTCTCAACTTGCTTTTAAGTCATTAGTAACGTGAGAAAACTGAAAAGGGAGCTGTGACAAGAGGAAGTAATGGATTCAGCAGCAGAGAACTCACTGCTCTCCCTGAACATGAAGAGGAGGTGACTGAGAGCTCCACTCATCTTGGTGAGGATTATTTTGTTTGGGATGGGATTTTTTGTCTGGTTAGTTGGGTTTTAGTACTAATCATATCAATTAAGCTACAAAAAGTTCTCCAGGAAAAACTGGATAGAACTCACTGCCTGGAAGACTGCCACCAGATATAAAGCCAAACTGCTGCACCAGGGAGGCAGCAAGGTACTGGGTTTTTTGTCAAAAATAATTTCTTATTGTACCCTTTGTTATCAGTTTCTAGCCAAGAAAGGCTTTAAGAGTGGCTTTAAAGAGGGCCTCATATTTCTGGAAGCCTGACAGATGTTGTGTCCCACCCTAGGTCACCTGCAAAGAGCCCCCAGACTGCTGTTCATAACTTTCCCAAAAGGCAGTTGAATAAGACTGACTAATAGTAAAAACAGGCAGGCTTTCACTATTGTATCTTGAGCAGGCTGGAGGTCTGCTGTGTGGGAGAAAGAAGCCTCTGTTTGCATTTACTTTTTATTTGGATGACCTTTGAGATGCTTAGCATTTATGGGACAGCCTGGACTGAGCAGAAAAACACTCAGGCACTTCCAGGTAGTTTGGATCCTACAACAGGATTTTATTTTTTTTCTGCCTGCTCCTGGCCACCTGCTTGCCAACAGAACCTGCCTATTTATTTTTACATCATTTATTTTCTGGTAATAAAGTTGATTTTAAAACTATAAGAATTTAAACTAATAACAATAATAACAAATGGGACTCTACCACTGTCCCCCTCCTCCTGAAGTTTGCTATTCAAATGTACAGAACTAATGTCCAAAGCATGGCTGGATATTTATTACAGCATGCAAATGATCACTGATTCCAGAGCTGCATATATGCTAAATGAGAAATTATTACTCATTTGCAATTATTCCAGGAAATCTTGAGTAGCTGCCAAAATAATAAAACAGCTGGATGAGCAGAGGGATGGGATCACTTTAAGCTGGCACTCAGGCTAAAGGAACTCATGCAAAGTCAGCCATGGGTGTCTGGAAGACTCAGCTTTATCCCACTGTGGAGCTGGTGCACAACATTGTGCACTGTTCCATGCTAACAACATCTGCCCAGAAAATGAGTTACTCCTCCAGTCTCCATTGGAGAGCCCCAAGTGCCTCTAGAACCACAGATCAGCAAAAACACTGCATCAAAACCAGAACCATGATAGGTTTATTAATCAAGACAGTGTTGTTGATACTAACCCAGGTTAGACATGATATGAGTGGAGTTTATTACAAATACTGTGACTGCACAAATAGAGTGGGTAGGGAGAAAGCTAAGGCTAAAGTCATATTTTATGATGCCTTAGGATCTCCTTGCATAAATCCTTTTCTCCTCATGCCACTGCTCATTGATCTCTACCATCTGGACCACCAAACTTTCATCTCCAGGTGTGCTATCAGCTAGCAGGCAATGGTAGGAGTGATTAAATAGGAGGTTGAAAAATTAATGTGAAACTTACTCACTTCTAATGAACAATAGAGAAATAATTTGAGCTGGATTTAGCTGATACAAAAGAAAAGTGCTTATAAGATAGGCATTAGAATCAAAAATTACACCTAAGAGCAAAGCTCCTGGCTTAGCACTATAAAGTACGTGCCAATAGTCCAGGGAAAACTCTTTTCTTAAACTCCATCATAGGTCCATTAAAAGTTGCCTCTTCTGCTGATAAAAGTGCATTCCATGGTCTCACTGGTCTGTGCATATTCCCAAAGTCTGATGCTGTTGCTGGCAAAGCCTTATTATAATCCTACATTACACAGAGCACTGTGCAAATACTAAACAAAAGAAAATGACATCCAACTGCTAACACAGACTTACCCTTCCCCACAGCCAAAGTAGCCGTCAGACAAAGGCTTCCTCTGAACCCTTGCTCATTGTGTGAAGCAGAATTCAAACAATCATCAAATGGTACTAATCATGGCCTTCCATAACTCTATAACTAGTATCTTTAAAGTTATCCTGCATGGTAAATATAATTTTCAGCAGCTGAGAACTATGAAACTGCTACAGCCCTCATCAGAATGCTGAGGGTATTGGCATTGCTTTAAAACTATCTCCATACTCAAACAGTTTCTATGCACAGATGTCTTCAAGAAAAGTCAGAGGATTGCATGTTTTAATAGCAATGGAAGTATTTTATTCCCTCTGAAAAAAATATTTGGGTTCATGTTTATTAATGCCCAATACTCAAGGTCAAGAAGAACATTCATATATTTGGCCAGAAGCATGGCTTTGCATGAGATCAAGATGCCAGAAGGTTATACTTGATCAACAGTAAATGCCCAAGGAATTTGATTGAAAACATTTGGAAGTATTAAATCAATAGCTGACAAGATTCCTCTATCTATAAATGCAGTTGGTTTTAGTAAACATGTGTTGAGTGGTTTTAATTTACCTAAGGAAAATGTGTTGGAATTATGGGTTTTTACATGTTTCTGGGACATGAGCTCACAAATTGCCAAAGAACTTTGGCACAATTAAAAGGAGTGAGAGTCAGACAGACACTTCAAACCCTAGTAAGGGCAAATTTTAAATGCTTGCCAAGTGAAATGCAATTAATCAGGGTCTCTGCACTATTTACTACTGAGAGATGACAAAAATCTGTCTAAGGAATAATTACTAAAAGAGACAACTGTGGGGTGGGACACAGCATTGGCCTCATATGATCTGCATACAAGAAATTATTAATATAGAATTACATCTGAGATACAGTATAGTCATAAGGCTGAGGGACCTTCTCTCAGAGTTCCTTTTCTCCACCAAAATGAAACATAGAATGCTTCTATTATTCCAGAGGCTCAAAGTGATTCCTAAGGGCAGTAACTAGTCAGCTATGTCATACTCTCCCTAGGGATGCTGTGGAAACCCCTCTGGCTTGATGCAGACAAAGAAAGGAAAAAACATAGCACCAAGAACAGCCCAGCATTGGCTGGTAGGTTGAGTAGATGACCTGACAGATCTTTTCCATCTATAATTTTCTTCTGTGGCTTTGATACTGAAGGCCCTGTGGACATGCACAGTGCTCTTGCTTTCCTGGAAGCCTTAATAAGGATCTGGTTTGGAACTCAGAAATACAACTAATACCACTGAGCATATTATCCTAGTGTGGTGTGAGAGGCAAAAAGAATGCCAGTGGGAACATATCCCATCATGCTAGTTGGGTTTTTTGGGCTTTTAACACCAGGATCCCCTGAAACACTTGCATCAATGCATTCTAATTGCAATGGTTGTCAGCATGCTGCTTACTTCAGTGCAGAAAAACCCTGGTGCATACCCAGTTACTGTACTGTTTACCCAAGATAGTGTTTGGGTTTATAAGCTCA